TGTCTGTCTGTGTCTGTGTGTCTGTGTGTGTGTGTCTGTGTCTGTGTCTGTCTGTGTGTGTGTGTGTCTGTCTGTGTCCATGTTTGCATGTGTTGACAAAAATCCTTTCTGTGCATCTAGGAACCTGGAAAACATCGACACTAAAAAGACTCCTGGCTTCATCTTTGAGACCATAAAGCTTTTATCGTTCTGTGTGGCCCAGGTAAGGACACTCACCTGCCGTGTCTGCGGCTGTCTCCCTCTCCGTCTGTCTGTAGAGTGTCTGCGGGTACGTCTGCGGGTACGTCTGCGGGTACGTCTGCGGGTACGTCTGCGGGTACGAATCGCACCACGCCTGCCTAACGCTGCAGCTGCCCTTGGGTGCGTTCGGGGCAGAGAGGGCACCCGCAACGGCGAGCCCAGTCCATCCGTCCGTCAGCATGGCTGTCTTTATTTCTGACCACATCACCTGGTGCGTTCGGTCCGGGGTTACATCAAAGCTCTGGGCCCCCCAGGTAAAATGGGTGTAATGGGTGTTCCTGTGCGAAACCATTACCGCAATAAACAAAAGAGCCACTGTTAATGGGGTGGGGGCACTCATGCGCTGGCCTCTGTTGGTGGTATTAATATCTGCGCTCGCAGTGGCGTGAGCATTCCCGGCTAGTGGGGAAGTGTGGATGATCCTGAGGTGAGCGGGGGCCCTGGTGGCACTGCGGGGGCCGATCTGCCGGCGTCTGGGGCTGCTAGTCACATTGGCGAGCGGTTTCTCTCCACACGCCGCTTCCTGTTTTTTATTTATTAATTTTTTTTTCCTCCTTTTCTGGATCTGAAAAGAAAGCATGCTGTACAGACGCAGGGACTTCCCTCTTCTGCAGCCCCCCCCCCCGTCCCCCCCGTCCTCGCGCCAGGGACACGTTCAGGTGGCGGCTTTTGGGAAGTGACGCCCACGCTTCCTCGTAGAGCTCGCTGGCACAGACGTGGGACCTGCTCAGCCGCATGTATTTCTGTATAAATGAGAACTGACGTTAAAACTGACCATGTGACCGTTTAGATCATGTACAAATAAAACAGCCCCCCCCCCTTATAGCCATTAACAAGCCAAATGGGGGGGCATCTTTTCGGTCCCCACAAGGGGAAACACTCAATTTTATCTGTGAATGCAATCAAAGAACTGGTTACTTATGATTAAGGTTAGGGCTGGGTAGGGGTTAAGGTAGTCAGAGTGTGTGTGTGTGTGTGTGTGTGTGTGTGTGTGTGTGTGTGTGTGTGTGTGTGCGTGTGTGTGTAACGGCAGGATCTCTGCGTTTCTGGCTTTCAGCTGAAGAAGCAGCCCCAAGAGCAGGAGTCCCTGCGGACGGTGGCCCAGTATGGCCTGCTGCTGTGTGAGAGCCTCTTTGATCCCTATCAGACCTGGAGACGGCGGCTGACGGGGTGAGCAGGGCGGGGGGAAGGGCCTGGGCGGTGGCGTGTGGGATCCTGACTGGTTGATCGGGGGCGGCAGTTGGCAGTCTGTTGTGATCTCTGGGAATCTTGCAGGAGTGCTTGTGGATTTCCCACATAACCTGCTATGTTTTGCCTTTATTTAGCATCTGGGTTAGTCAGTCCCATAGCGCAATTCAGGGTTAAAGGCCTAAATCAAAGGTCTTTCTGCTGACCCTGGGATTCAGACTAGCAACCTTCTGATGCCGTGATTGTCTGTGTGTAGGGACCCTGCTCCGCCTGCTGTCTGCTCAGAAACGCAGCGCTAAGACCCGCCATGCTGTCATCTACGCGCCGTTGTTATTCCAGGGCACGTTTCCGCTCTGTTCATTTTAACGCCCCCGCTGCCGTCTTTTGCCGCATCTCCCGGCAGGCAGCTGTGCCGCGTTTCCGTAAATGGCTCAGCGTGGGGGTTATCGGGGGGGCACACTGCTGACTCAGGGCTTTTCTCTCTGCAACAGAGAGGAGGTGTCAGCACTGGAGAGGAGCAAGTACAAGTTCTCCCCTCTGCCGCTGCCTGAGGAGCTCCCCGCCCTTTTCCATGGTGAGCCTCCACCCCCCCGATTGCTGAACTCCTTGTTTCCCAAGCCAAAAGATTTCAGTTAAGCCTGCACCCACCCCCCGCCGAGATAAAGGCAGCGATCTCGTCCAAAGCACACGCTGTCAAAGCGCTACAGAAGACTTCCTGTTTGCGTAAGGGGGGGGGGGGGGGGG